TAATTAATTATAATAATAATAATAATTATAATTTCTTATAATTTTAATTATAATATTTGTTATAATAATTATAATAATAATTTGTTATAATAATTATAATAACAATTATAAAGTATGTGTATATATTATATATACTTTATACTATACACTATATACTATATACTTCATACTACATACTAAATAGTATAAAGTATATGTATATATTATATATTTCATACAACATACTAAATATTATATACTTGATACTACATACTACAAACTATACACTATATACTTTATATTATACACTATATATATACTTCATACTACATACTACATATTATAAATTATAAATTACATATTATATAATAGATACTACATACTACAATTCAAAATACTATATACTACATACTACAAACTATATACTATATATACTTTATACTATACACTATATACTATATACCATATACTATACTAGATATTACATACTACATATATACTTCGAATTGTTCGACACATTCATGTTCGTAGTTTTTAACTTTTATTTTTATTTTAATGTCATACAAGTTATTTTATTTAATATATAATATACATTCATATTTATATATATTATAATATATATGTATATACTATATATACAAGACATTGTTGTAGTAGCAATATTCAAATGTCTAATCCAACACAATGGAAGCCAATTCAAGAGAGGCTCCTGAGTTGCCCTGCACGAAAATGAGTTGTTTGGTAGCAAAACTTTGAAAGGCCATAACTTTGCGTAGAAATGTCCGTTTTTTAAGGTTAATTTGATTTTGAAGCAAAATTCTAAGTTTTTCACATTTTTAAATATCTATATCTCCCAAACGGAAAATCTTTTTACGAAATTTTTTTATCACGACAATGCTCTCAACTCCAATTCATGAACCAATGGGCAAAACTAGAAAACGCATTTTTGTACTGAATTACGTCTATATGTATTATACTTGTTGACACTTTTTCAACAAAATATCCTTGGTGAAGTGGTTACCTTGATAGTCTTATTATTTGGGAGGTCATGGGTTCAAGTCCTCTAGAGTCTCATTCTGTTGTGTTCTTTATTTTCTCCCTATACACATACTCATGTGATGATACATATGTTTTTATTTTGCCCATTGCACACGTGATGATATATATATGTAATTTTATTTTTGTATATAATATATGTATGTCTACAAATATTTCTGCATATATATATATATATAACAATAATTAAATTATAGCAAGGCATTTCGAAAAATACGTTTTAAAATTGATACGGTTCAAAAGGCGTCTGGCCGGCCGGTTCGGACGGCATAAAAGCCTTCCGGTTTCACCGGCCAGACAATTTTTTTTTTAATAAATTATTATGTTATATATTCGAAATAATTATGTTATAAATTGGACGTTAGATAAATTGGACGTTCGAAATAATTATCTTTTTTAATACATTATAATAATAATTATAAA